CCCCCCCCCCCCCCCCCTTTCTTTTAATTACCATATTTCCTTACTAAAAAAGCTACTGTTTGAGAAGGGTAGTATTTTTTTGAAAAATTTTATTTATTATTTAAACCTCTCTCGTTTCCACAAAAAGACTAGGAATTAGAGGGAACACTCTAGTTTAATTTACTAAAGGAAAACATTTTTAATTATTTTTTATTATTTAGCAATAACAAGATTGATGAAAAAAATAGCTCTAAATTAGGTACTTTACTTAAAAGCTGTTCTAATATCTAAATTTTAAACCTGGATGTTAAGTAAATTTTTTATTTAAACTTAAATATCATTTTAAATTATTATAAATTTATATAAAGGAAGAGTATTATTGGAGAATAAGGAGTATCTAATATAGCTATAGGATTAAGAAATTGCTAAAATATTAACAATCTTACACTTAATTTAAGGTTATTACAAATTTTTAATTTTTATAAATTGAATAAAAAAACTAATTATTTATCATTAAATGTGCCTTTTATTTTATTATTAATTATAAAATTTAATTTTATAGTGAGAGCTAACTTAATTGTACAGATGTTGCTTGCTTAGCTTACTCTCTTTAATAGCTACCAAAATTGGAGAATATTGATTTAGATTTCAAGTTAAATTTTAAATTAATCTTTTAATTTCTTAGATTTTATATGAAAATTAAAATTAAAAAGATAAAATGAAATCAATGAACAAGGTGCCTAAAGTCTTGGAAACTCTTTAGCAAATTGTCTAAATTTAAAAAACCTCAAATTGTCTCTCTCGTAAAAAATTTTTAACATTATAAGCATATTTTTAATATCAGTAACTTTTTGATATCGTATTAAATATTCTTTATAAAATTAGCTCAAACAACATTGGAGAAGAAGGAGCTTCATTTTTAGGGTCTGCTTTAGGGAAAAGTTCTTCTATTTAAAATCTCTTTATTGATTTGGGGTAAATAAAAATAAATATGGAAAAATATTTTTAAATTTTAATGTTATCCTAAAAAAACAGAAGGAAAATAAATTTAAACAGCATTTCCAATTTAAATACAAAAGAATCTTTATTCTATTCTTCAAAAAATTGTTACTAAATTTGTAAAGTTATCTATTGATAAAAAAATTTCCAATTATTACTTAGAAATAGATTCAAACTATTAAAGTTTTTGCTAATTATTTTCCTTAAATTTTAAAAAAATTATGAATAAAATAATTTAATTAGTTTATTTAAAGTATTTTGAAAATAAAATTATTAATTAAAGATCAAATGAAATAAGAGCTGAAGGAGTTAAAGATTTAGCTGTTGGATTGAGAAGCTGTTTGAGTTTATCGAGTTTAAATGTAAATTTCAAGTAAAATAATTAATTAAAAATAGATATATTGATTTTATAAATAACTTATGCATCATAAATATACATAACATTAATTAATTATTTTTAAAATTTATATTAATTTTCAATTTTAACTTTTTCTATCATAAAAGCTTCAATAATATCAGATAAAAAGGAGTAAATGAGTTAGCTTAAGCCTTGGCTAGCTTTTAGAACCTCAGAAATTTAATTCTTGATATAAGGTTAAATAAAAATAAATCATAATATAAATTTTATAAAATTATTTTTATTTAATTACTTTTAATTTACATTAAGAATAAATATAAATAAAACCATTATAAAATTTTGCAAACGCTATTTTATGTAAAAAATTTTAGTGGGATTAAATTTTAATTTAATTTTAAAAAGGGCTTTTAAAAGAATTATAATTTTAAAAACCCATTAAAATTTAAAATTAGCATAAAAATTAATTACCTCCCTTCTAAATAACATTTGCTTTGAAAGTATAAAAATGAAACTCATTTATATTTTAGAAATTTTGATAATATAAAATATTTACTTTAAGAAATGTTTAAAATAACTTTTTTTAATTTAAAAGTGAAAACAATTTGATGCAAGTAGCAACACAAAATTTATGTAATGATTTAGCTAAATGCCCTAATTTAGTATCATTAAAAATTAATTTAACGTAAAGATACTTGAAAATCAAATAATTTATTTTTATAAACTCTTAATTTATTAAAAAGCCTCAATAAAATTGGTTCATAAGGATTGTCGCACATAGCTTCTTCTTTAAATAAATTCAAAAATCTGATCAGTTTATCTCTCATTCTTTGGTATTTTTTTTAATTAATTCTGAACAAAATTAATTATATAATTTTTTAACAGCCATAACTAAATTGGTGAAAAGGGCGCGGTGCATCTCAGTCAAGCATTACAAGAAAATTAAACTCTTATTGATCTGTATATAGACATTAAGTAATTTATTTTATATTTTTAACATTAATTTATTTTTAATTTGCTGAAAGAAGATACTGTTTTTTATATTTTAATTTATACTAATTTTTATTAATAAATAGTGAGAATAATCATGAATATGGTGAAATAGCTATAAAGTAAAATACCCTCAAAATGAAAAGATTAGTAAATAGAATAATAGAGGAATATTGACTTTGAATCAAATTTAATAAATAAAAATAAATACTATTTTAAGAATTCCTTTTGTTTATTTGAATTGAATTAAGTTTATTAACAAATTTTGATTAGGATATTTTTGTGGTTTCTAATACAACTATTTTTTTACAAATATTAATAGCGACTATCAAGCTTAAATTTTATATATTTATGTTGTTAAATAATTATCCAAATTTATATATAAAATAAACAATAATAAATAGGGTTAAATCTAATAAATTGACTTTAAATTTTAAAAATAAATAAAATAAAGTTACCTAAAATTTGATAGATATTTGTAACGAATTTATTTAAAATTTTTTAATTGTTTTATAATAGTTAATTACATTATACAAAATTATACTTGATTAATATTTCTTATAAAAATCAATTTCTAACTAATCTAATTTTATTAGTTTAATCAAATTTAATTTATGATTTTTTTTTTAGAATAGATTTTTAATAAATTAGAAGTAAATATTTTAATTTTCTATTTATAATCCAAAATAAATTATAAATGAATGACTGACTGACTGACTGACTGACTAACTACTCACTTCATTATTTTAGTTTTTTAATATGTTAATAAATAAATAAATTTAATAAAAAGTATAGTGTTCAGTTTAATAAAAGAAAAAAAATTGAAGCTTTTTGATTGAGACGTCATTTTTGCACTAAATATCATCATTATTTATTGAAAAAGTTGTAAATTACAAATTAAGTAGGAAACAGATTACTTTATAAAAGAAGAGATAATCGTAAAAACAAATTATTTATAATTAAATAATTATTAATAGAGATAAATACTGATTTTGCTCAATGAAAAACGCTTCTTTAATTTTGGTTATCTGCATATTGTTATGCTCTGCTCAAGCACTTCTTCCTAAGAATTATTTGAAAGGAGAGTCTGATATAGCTTAATGCTTTGGAGATATTGAAAAATCTGTTGGAGACTTGAAACAAATTGCTGACGAACTTAAAAAGTTAGAATTTAAGAAGGCACTTTAAGAGCTTGGTGATCTTATGAAAGTTTTAGATAAGGTTATTGAGAAATGCGCTGATGCCACTTGCTGGATGAAGGCATAACAAAGATGCGAAAATGAAACTGAAGGAGCTTGTGAAGAATCAGGTTTAATCTGGTACCCTAAGTGCAAAAAAGGATACCATGCTGATGGATGTTGTGGTAATAATAAATAAATTAACTATCAAAAAATAAGAGAGTGAGTGAGTGATTGAACTAATTGTTGAATAAAAAAATAATTCAATAAATAGGCTCTTTTATTAACATACTTCCCTATTAATTTAATTACTTTTTGTTAGATTAATTTATAACAAATTGAAAATCTTTTTCTTACAATTCAATCTAAAATAGTTTGTGTCTAAGATTGCCCCTCAGGTTTTGCTGATTAAGGATTTGAATGTGCTAAGCCTTCTGCTTATGGCAGAGGAGCAGGATATCCTTGGGAATTTGGTGATGACCTCTCACTCAATGAAGTAAAACAATTTTTTAAAATAAAACAAAGTTAAAGTGATTATTTAAAATAAAAAAGGCCATGAAAAGATGTGAACATGACAATCCATAACTTGGCTGCGAATAAGTAAAAACATTTTTAATAAATAAATAAAAGAATCAGCCATTAATTGATGTTTTTTGGTGAATTTTAATAATTTACTAGGATTTAAAAAATTGTGTGGCTCAAAATTTAATAATTAAATTACATTGCATCTTTTTTTATTTATTAATTTAAAAAGTGGGGACTTGTTATTTACCCAAAATGCTAACCTAACTTCCATAACTTCGATTGTTGTAAGATAATATTATAATAAACAAAAAATACTATAAAGTGTTTATTTAATTAAAATAATAATAGGTATTTGCTCTCCAAACTGCCCTGCTGGTATGACCGATATTGGAGTCTCTTGCCAAAAAGAGACTTATGGAAGAGGTGTAGGTTTTGTTGATGGAAAATGCATTGAAGAAAATTGGAACAATTTTACTCCAATTGAAAAGTTTGGAAAGTGTGTTTAATAAGCAGAATAAATTGTTAAGGATATTGAAGATTTAGTTAAATCTGTTGAAGACAAATCAGATATGTGGAATACACTTAAATTAGCTTATGTTTTACTTTAACATACTAATCCTTTCTTGGAACACTGTGTTGATCCCTTAGTACCAAAAACCAGTTCAAATTGAACAAAAATCTATTTTATGACTGAAAAAATATTAAATTATATTATTTTAAATAAGTTAGTTATTTGTTTTTTGTGGTAATTAAATATCTTAAAAAACTAATTCAATTAATCTTTATCTTTATTGAAAATCAAATAAAACTCAAAATAGTTTTTTTAATGCTAGTTTTTCTTACACAATATAGAATCCTAGTGTTTTTAGTACAGAAAATAAAATTATTTGGCTGAAAAAGTAGCAAAAAATCATTTAAAAAATACAAAATAAATTAATTAATATCACATAAAAATACAAAATAATAATTGTGATAAGATTATCAAGTTGTAAAATAGTCTGTTACAATAGCACTAAGAAATTTTAAGCTTACATTTTTATTTATTAATAAGTGTACTAGTTTTAGGAAACGATGATATTATTTTTATTGAAATATTCTGAATTTATTTCCAAATATGAAAAGTTTAAGACTCAATATTTTGTATGAAAGATTGGCCATACCAATTTTATTTTAAAATCTTTATTTATTTTAGACTTATCTTTAAATTAAAATGTTTAAAATAGATTATGGCTTTTTTTTAATCCAATTTATATTTTTATTCAAGAAAATTATATGTTTGTAACAAAAAAAAGCTTTTTTGTATTTTATTTAAGGTTGCCTAAAAATTTCATCAATTATTTCAAATGTCTGCTTGATTAATAGAAAAGTTTTTAGCATAATTAATTAATTTTGAATAAATTATTCGATTATTATGTCTATTATATTTTATAACAATTACTTGTTAGGTTTTAATTTAATTATTATTTGGTAATTTGATTAGAATTTAAAGATATTCTTACATATTTTTGAAAGGAATACTATTAATAGTATTTAATAAGGTTAAGTGTTATTATTTTTACTCCCTTATGGTAATTAATATTATTGTTTATAAAATGAGGAATATCACTAAGATATATCTTTCTCTTAAATGTAATTGTGTACTTGAGTATGTATTGATTATTTATTATTAATAGATAATTAATTTCTAATAAATAATTAATTTCTAATAAATATATTAACGAAAGATTAGACTTTAATAAATAGAAATAAATGAATAAATATCTAGCTATTATTTTAATAAGCATAGCCGTTCTTAGCACTTAAGGAGTTTGGGCATTCAATTTAAGAGATAGTAGACTTTCTGATTTGGATCAATGCTTCAATAACGTGAAGAATACTTTCTAAGATTTGGAAAATATAATCAAGGATATCAAAGAATTAGATTTTAAGAAAGCATTCTAATAGCTTGGAGATTTGGTGAAAGTTCTAGACAAAGCTATTGAAAAATGCGCTGATGCCACATGCTGGATGACTGGCGAAAAGAGATGCTAGAATGATAACTCTAGCCAATGCGAAAAATGGGGTCTTATTTGGTATCCTAAATGTAAATAAGGATATCATCCTTTTGGCTGTTGCAGTAAAAAAATAATTTATTGATTAAATTTCTCTATTACTCTTTTCTTTGTTAATATATATTCTTATCTTCTTTCTTTTGCCTGAAATTTTGATTAATAATATTATATATTCATTTCATTATTAATTTCACCACAAAGTTTGTGCTTAAGATTGTCCTTCTGGTTTTAGAGATGATGGTCTTTATTGTGCAAAGCCTGAAGCATATGGCAGAGGTGTTGGTTACCCTTGGAAATTTGGAGATGGATTCAATCTTAACAATGTAATTAATTAATTTAAGAAAGTTTAATCAATAATAAATTAATTAAAATAATTAGGCCAATTCTAGATGCTTACATGATCATCCATCAGGTTGTGAACAAGTATTAAAAAACTTTAATTAATTTCCATCATTTCAACCTTTAATCTTAATAAAGCAAATCCAATATTTATTAATTAGATAATAAATTAATCACTAAAGGATATTTCTGATTAAAAATTAATATTTAACCAAATAAAAAACTCTATTTTATATTAATTAAAATATTTGTTTTATATATTTTTTAGTCAGGAGCAATAATTTATCCTAAATGTGCTCAGAACTTCCACAGTGTTGGGTGCTGTAAACTAAGAATTAATTAATTAAGATTTTTATTGATTTTTATAAAAAATAATTAATTGTAGGTGTTTGCTCCCCTAATTGCCCATCTGAAATGACTGATATTGGTGTATCTTGCTAAAAACTATCGTATGGAAGAGGAGTCGGATATGTAAATGGAAGATGCATTGAAGAGAATTGGAACAATTATACTCCAATTGAGAAATTTGGAAAATGCATAGATCAAGCCAAATAAATTGCTTAAGACATTTAAGATTTAATCTCCTCTTTAAAACCTTAAAATGACGATGAAAAATGGAAAACTTTAAAGTTAGCCTATCAGCTCTTATAACACACTAATCCTTTCTTGGTTCATTGCATTGATCCATTAGTTAAGGAAATCGAAGAAATTAACTCTTAATGAGGGATTATAATAAATTTATTCAAATAATTAAATGTTATTTTTATAAAATAATACAAGACAGCTTGTTTATTGAATTTTTTATGAAAATATATATATTATTTATTCATTTTGATAATTTTTTATTTTAAAGTTTTCTTCAATTTTATATCAATAATTAAAGAGACTTATTACCATATTTATTATCATTAGATCATCTAATTTCTTTTGAGTAATTACTATAATTGATTGATTGATCATATTAAAACAACTTACTAACTTACTTACTTTTTTATTAAAACAAATGAAGAGAATTTAATTTTTTTTAATTTTAATAATAAAATCTATAATAATATAAAAGCAAAAAAATATTAAACTATGTTTCAAAATATTCTATTATATCCAGTTTAACTGAAAACTCACCTTTTAAAGTAAAATCTATCTCATTATTTTATAAACGAGATTGATTGATAGTATTAAATATTTCTAGTTTAAACTTCACCAAACTTAATTTTTTTTAGATTTTATGGAAGATAAATAAATAACAATATTTTTATTTTAAATTTCTCCAAAAATAATTTTAGATTAATAACAAATAAATAAATAGTTTTTTTATTAGTTACATAAAACAAAAATATTACCATTTAAATTTAGATACTCAGTTTAATTAACAAAATAATATCTTTTATAATTTTAAAAAATTTTTTATCAAGAAAGTATTGAATATTATACAAGTCTTAAACACTTTTATAGTTTTTTCTTTGATTTTTAGAATAAATTTTTTTAGATTTATATTTCTAAAAACGTGTAGTCTGCTTAGTATTTTCTTTTATAAAAAAATAATAAATATTTTTAAAATAATAAAAGCACTTAATAAAATTTATTAAATATTCAATATTAACTAAGTTTAAATTAAAATAATACCTAAAATCTATTTCAATCACATTAATACTCTTAAAAATCTTCAAAATATTAAAAAACTTCTAAATTCCTGTAAATTTTATTTTGCTATTGCTTTTGGTTTATAAAAAAACAAACAAAAAACTTAAAAACAAACTAAATTAAAAATGTAATTAAATAAATTGTTTAATGTTTTAATTCAATTATAAATTATAGTTTTGTTTAAATATTTTAACAATAATTAATTACAAAAGATTAAGATTAAGGGTTGAAAGATGTTAGCAGTTTGATAAAGAGGTACCTAAATTATATAAACCTTAAATTCCTATTTAATTATACCTTTTAAATTATATTTTTAATTTAGTAAATTAAAAAAAAAAAATGAATATAATTTCAATATAATGAAAAATTATTTTTTTAAAATAAAAATGGAGTTTTTTAGGTAAATAAATAAATAATTACTTTAATTCTAGTGTTAAATTTTTGAGAGCTTTATAATTAGCAAAAGCTAAACTCATATCAGAAATGCAATCATCATTAATTTTGTAAAAACTTTTATAAATAGTAATTTTATTGTTTAATTAAATCTTCAAAATAAATTGGTATTTAAATCATTTTACTTCATACAAAGGCAGAGATTTTGCAATTTCTTATAATTTGATAGAGCTTAACATAAGCTGACAATTCCATTTATAGTGATTTTATTATGTCTTTTAATGATCGAAATTGATAAGAAAATATTTAAATACTAATTTCAAATGTTAAGCAAAAAAATGTAATTGAATAATTTTGTAAAATTTAAGTAATCTCTAATATCATAAGTTAATTGAAATGTTTTTATTTAGATAATATACTCCAAATTAAGAGACAAATCAACTAGATTTTCACATATTGATAAGCTTTAAACTAATCCAAGTAGACCAAAATCCTTCATCTTATTTTTGCTTTTTAATAAATTTTGAGTAAAAAACAAACATGGTATAAATAGTAAATTTATTTTTCTTTGAATATTAATATATTTTTTTACCTTATGTCAAGCTGTAAGGTTTAAAGATTCCTTATATTTGATAATTATATACCTAAACCTAAAGGACCTTTATCTCGTATTTTATTGTTTCTAATAAATTTAAATAGTTAAAAAAGGATTAATTACTTTTCTTGTTATTTTTAAAATTATAATAATAATAATTTTTTTAATTTTAATTTTAAAGTATTATTGTAATAGATATAACAAACAAAATATTTGTTATTTATTTATTTATTTTTGGTGAAATTTTAGTTTAGTTAGTTTGTTAATTTTACTTTAAACCAAGAATTATTTTTGTAAGGTTGGCGCATTTTGATAGATTTGATCCTAATTAAGGTGCACCACTTATTCCTATTTAATTGGATCTTTAATAAAATGTTTTAAGTAAATTGATTCATAGTAGCAATTAAAATAATATCATTAATTTAAATGTTAAAAGTGTCGAAGACAATAAAAAAAGAGTATTTATTTATTTATTTTACTCAAATTCTAAGCAAATATATTATAAACTTTTGCATTTTACTAAAGCAGAGCAAAGTTTTTGTGCAGTCTAGTTACCTATGCGTTGATTGCTTTTAAAATTAAATATATAGATTAATTGGGTGCAACAAAAATGAAAAGAATTGATTTAAAAAATAAAGAACTTGAATTAATAAAATTAATTTTATCTTTTGATCACAAAAATAAATAATTAATTAATTATTACCTTAAAAAAAGTGATAAATTTTGAAGATTTGACTGTTATGATATAGTAGAGCCAAATTTTACAAGAAACTATTCATCAAACTAACTAGAATTTAAAATAATTTGATTAACATTAATGATAAATTTATATTGAATGGTCAATTAATAAATTAATTATTCATTAGATTATTTAAAAGCATTCTAATACTCTGAATAAAAATAAATAAGTAATTGTTAAAGCTTTTTGTATTTATCTTATTTTAATTAAAAAGCTTAGAATCTATCTACACTTATCTAAAAAATATTCTTTAAATCTATTTACATGAGAGATGAATAATATTTTTATTTTTTAAGAAAAGGGAATTAATTATTCATTCATTCATTCACATAAAATATTCTAATTAATACTTTTTTATATTTACGTAACTTTAAAAATAAAAAAATATTTATTTCCTTTACCCAAATTTAAGAATCAAAGTGTTTAAATTGTTCAAATTCTAAAAAGATTAGCCTTAAAGACTATTTCCATGATCTTTAGCTTAACTGTGTCTTTAATTTTACAATTTAAGGTAAAATAATTCAAAAATTTAAATAATACATTTATTTATTATAAACCATTTTAAATCAAATTTACTATAAATCTATATCTAGAATTGTAAGCTACTTCAATTTTTATAATTGCAAAATCATGCAAGTTAAGCTTAGCTTATTATGCCTAATATATATTTATAAATAAATAAATGATTTATATTGTAGGTATTTCTCATTATTTAAATAAAACAAAAAAAAATCAAAAACTTAAATTATTTTAAAAGTTTTATTTATTTTTTAAATCCTGAATTAAAATAGTTCCAAAATAAAAGCTTTTCCTATTATATATGTATGAGTATTGGTTTTATTTTTATTTAAATTTTGCTTAAATTGTTGCTAATTTATGAGGATTTAAGCTCATCAAAAAAAAGATTTAAATATTTTAAATTAAATAGAAAGAATAAATAAATAAATGTTTAAGAAAATTTACCTTGATATAATTTTTAAAGATTTTAAATTAGATAAATTTTGTAGACTAGAAGTAAAAGCAGATAATCCTTATGAATCTATTTCGTTGTGTCTTTTATGTGAAATAAATATAAAAGTATTTGTTTAAGTAAGTAGTTAGTGTTGATTGTTATTATAACTTATTAGCTAATAAATGTAAATTTTATTACGAAATATCAATAAAGAGGTATTCTAGATTCTAAAATTTTAACAAGACTGTACTTATAGAAGCCAAAATTTAGTTTTTAAGACCACATCCTCTTAAAATTAATTTATTTTATTAAATTAATTAAAATTATTTATTTGAAGATTTATAATAAGATTTATAAAATTAAGTAATGAAAAATGAAATATTACATCAATTCTAGAATTAGTTTTTAGTTATTTTGAAATGTAAGTAAATCTTAACATAATTTATCAGTTTCTTTATCATTCAGCTTTTTTGTACTTTATAATTTATAACATCAAATTTATTAATCTATATATGTATGTATGTATGTATGTATGAATGAATAAAATTAAATAAACATACATTATCAAACCTATTCCTTAAGCGTAGTATGCATGAGATCTTACTATCTTTTATTAATAGAATAAGTTTAACTATATCATGCTCTTTAATTATTTATAATTTTACCTCAAAAAATGTATTAAATTTATTTTTGAATAGCATAGTTTTTTTAAATTCAGCTTTTTTTTTCAAATTTATTTCATTAAATTTTCAAATTACAAAATCATAATTTGTAAATTAATATTTTATCTAAAAAAATAATCAAATTGAAAACAAAAATTTAATTATCTCCCTCCTCTGTTAATTGGAAATTAATTAAATATCTTAAAAAAATGTTTAATCATTTAAATTTAAAACATTTTTTTAAATTTATTAATGATTAAAATTATAAAAAAATAGAAAATAAATTAAACAAATTTTATAAAATATTATTTTCTCTTTTAATTGATAAAATTAAGTTTAAATACTTTAAATAGAAAATGAAATGCTGATTGATTTTTTAATGAATTTTATTAAAAGTTTATTAAATTTTAATTTTTACTTTAAATAAATCTATTTATTTATTGATGAAAATTAAAGAATTTGATTGAAATATTTATTTATATATTATTTAAAACTTTTAAATAAATGTTTAAATTTAAAGTTAGCTTCATAAAAAATAATTAATCATAAATAAATAATAGTTGTGGTTAGATATAACCATAATTATGTTTATAGCAACTTGCAATCCAATAGGAATTAAAAAAGACTCTATTTTTTTAACATCGGGTAAAACTTTTATTTATTAATTAGGAAAATATTTAAGTAGAAATTTAAAAATAAATAAATAAATTCAATTTAGTAAGTTACTTGAATAAAATTTAAAGAAAATGTAGTAAAATCTGTAATTTGCGAATAAGTTAAGAGTAGAACTAATTATGACAATCAAGAAAGAATTACTATTTTTCCAGAAAGGAGTCAAGATAAGCTATAATTTGAATTAGATAATAGTAAGTTAATCTGCATAATTTTCATAATAAACAATTAATTAGATAAACAAATTACTAAACATATGTAGTTAAAAACTAGGAAGACAAAATATGCGTTTAAAAAGACATCTAAGGAGTATATGTATGATATATGATTTTCTACTTCACTTTTCATCAAAAACCTAGTTACAATCAACCTAAATTTAAACAATAGATTTTAGAAGATTTATTTATTTATTAATAATAAATAAACATAAGTTGATTTTCTTAATAATTTATGAATTTTTTTTTTTTCTGTTATTAATTAATTAAAAATAGTAATTACCTTGGTAATATAGTGAAGATAAGCCCATAAATAAGAAACTAAGCAAGAAGTTTATATATGCATGTTAAATACTCTGAAAGACTCTACCTGTTTCAATAAATAAAAAACCATTTCATTTAATTTTACTTAAGAATGCTTACTTAATAAAAAGACTGTAGCAAACAGCTATATTAATTTGCAAGATGACCAAAAGAAAGAGAAAAGAAGGGTTATTTCTACCCCATTTGTGCCTAATTTCTTTTATTAGATAGAGTAAAGTAATTAATTATCCAAAAGTGAAATACTCAAATTAAAATCTTACGCTAATTCCATTAAAATAACTAAACTATTCTCTTAATATTAAATAATAGAAGACTCATCTCCTCAAATGAACTCTTTATTTCTTCCACAGACATTTAAAAAAACTTGCTAAAATGATCTTTTAAATCTTTCAAATTCTCCTATTGCACTTCTTTGTATCTAAATTAAACTTTTTTCTTTTTATGTTGTGCTTCATTTTTCACTTCATTCAGACTTTTATCTTCAAATTTCTGCGCCTTCTATTCTTAGTACTATAATTCTATGCTATTTTCATTTACATCATTCTATAACTACTATTCTTAATCCATTTATTAATATATCTTTACTTATTTACTATCTCACTACTCAGTTACTTACTTACTAATTAATTAATTAATTAATTAATTAATTTTGCTGGAAAATAGGATTGATTATTTTTTAATTCTTGTAATTTAGTATTAACATAATAAATAAATTATTAAATACATTCAATTCTTTAAAATATAATTAAATTTGCAAATTATCTATCTTTTTTCAAATTTTCTACTTTTAAATAGCTAATTTATCGTATGCCTATTTATATATCTAAATTGAAAGCTTACGTATTATATTCCCCACCTTTGTAACAAAATTGAATTAGGTTATTGTAACAAACACAACTTATATTATATATTTATTTATATATTTTTGCCAATATTTTAAAAATTAATTACTGCTTAGAGCAAAAATAAATACAATAAGATATTATCAAAAATCAAATAAATATACGGTATATATAAAATAGTTATAGTTTGACATAGAATTATTCATAAAAATTATAGAGGATTAGTACTAATAAATAATAAAAAATCATATGACTTAAAAGTTATGCCTAAATATTAAACTATCAGAACACTTGAATATATATGCCTTTAAGAGTTTTTATGTAAACATAGTAAGTATAGTGTCAAAGTTATTTGAGATTCCTAGTATGTTAAATACTTTTTTTATTGAGTAAATTAAATAACTTTAATTTGTTTTTTGTTTATTCTATTAATATTTTACTAAAATATATTAATATTAATTCAATAAATACTCATTTAAATCTAAATAAACTAAAAAGTTTTATCTAGAATAAAATAATTAAAAAAACAGTATAAAATTAATGATTGGGGATTTTATTATCTTTCATATTTATTTGAGCTATATTTAAAAAATAAATTATTAATAAAATAATATTTAGAGTAAATTAATTATTTACTTTTAAGATTTTAGATTAATTTTATTAAATTAGCATTTTTCAGATAATATATATTATTGTATCAGAAAGATAGATAAAAGATATCTATTATTTATTTATTCATTTGATTATTTTGAATTTAGTATAAAGTTGTTAGAATAGTTTTGTTTTGTTTTCGCGCTCTTTGTTAATGATACTGAAATCAGTATATCATAATTTTAATTGTTATAAAATATTTGGCGCTTGCATTAATATAAATTCTATTAAATTTTTAATCTGAATAAGAAGATTAAAATAAATACATACACATAAAATATTGATAAATAGATAGATAGTTTTTAAGATTATTAAAAAGAAAGCAAATTAGATTTCAGTAAAAATGGAAGAGGAAATACCCATTACAGTTGTAAAATAAAGCTAAAGCATTTTTACAAAATTGTAATTCGTTTGTTTTTTATTAGGAAACCAAATAGAAGTAATAGAATATTCCTTGGGTTGAAAAATACAGACCTGAGAACTTAGATAATGTCATTTCACATGAGTATATTGTTGCAACAAGTAAATAAAATTTGAAAGCTAATCAGAATAAATAAGCAAACAACTTTTTTATTACATTTTTTAATAGTTAAGAAATTTATTGAAGAAGATAAGAAGCTTCCTAATTTATTGTTTTATGGACCTCCAGGAACAGGTGATTCATTCATATCAACTTTTTTTGTACAATATATATAAATTATTATTATATAAAACAGGTAAGACCTCATTAATAGTAGCTTTAGCCAAATAGTTGTATGGAAAGAATTATAAATAGCTTGTTTTAGAAGTAATTTAGCTCAATTTATTTTAATTAGTGATAAGGTTTTATTAAAAAAAGCTTAACGCTTCTGATGATAGAGGTATTGACGTTGTTAGAGAACAAATCAAAACTTTTGCAAGTACTGCCAATTTCGGTATGGTTGGGTAAATAAATATTAAAATTTTATATAGATTTCATTGAAAAATAAATAGCAGAAAGGCATACATGTAGCCTTCAAGAAGTACTTGCAAGAATATTAAAATATTTTGAAATAAATTTAAAATTTGATAATAATAATAAAAATTAAAAGAAAAGGAACTAAATTAATTATTTTGGATGAAGCAGACTCTATGACAAATCAAGCTCAGTTTGCTTTGAGAAGAAGTAAAATGAAATAAAAAACTAGTTTATAGGAAAAAATAATTATTTTCAATTAATTTATTAGTTATTGAAAAATACAGCAGCAATGCTAGATTTTGCATGATATGTAATTACGTCTCAAAAATTATTCCTGCTCTCCAATCAAGATGCACAAGATTTAAGTTCAAGCATATTCCTTATTAAGATGCTAAACTTAGAATTGCATAAATTTGCAATGCTGAAAATTTAAAATATAAAAATTCTGGTATTGAAGCAGTATTCAAGCTTTGCGATGGAGATATGAGAAGAGTTGTAAATATGCTTCAAGTAAATAAAATATTAAAATATGTTAATGGAAATAATTTACTTATTTATTTTTTTAAAAACAAAAATAGTCTCTTTCTTTATAAGGATATGGAAGTGATGAATAAGTAGAAATAACTGATGAATTAGTTTATAAATTTACAGGTAATGCAACACCAAAAGACATTGAAAATATTATTAACACCATGAATAATAAATCCATTTCAGAATCATATGAAAGTAAATTAATTAATTAAATCTGCTTTAAAATAAATTTTATAAAAAATCGAATTATTTATTAGTAATATAGAGTTACTAGGTAGAAAAAGGTATCTCCTTATAAGTTATGTTGAAAGAAATAAGTCTTTTTTTGATGAATACCTCATATCCTAGCTTAGCACTTGAATTTTTAGTTAAAAGATTGGCAGATCTTGAATATAGAATGTCAATTAACTGTGATGAAAAAGTTTAAACATTATCATTAATAAGTGCCTTCACAGAAGTTCGTTAGCTTTTAAGAAGACCTTGATGCAAACAAATACTCTTAGATTTTAATTTTGTTTAGTATTGGACGGACTAATAAAAAAACAGATTTCAAAAAAATAAAAATTAAAAATCAAAAGTCAACTACAATTTTAATATTAATATTTACTCTCAATACATACATACATCTATCTATTTTATTTATATTTTATGTTAATCTATTTCTTCTCTTTAAATTGCATTTAATATAATCAATTATTATTTTTAGAAAAAACTATTTTCAACTTAATTGCCTAAAAAAAAGTAATTTCATTTGAATATATTTTAGATCAATAAATAAATAATTTCAAATATTAATTATTCTTTGAGGTAGCAAATCTATCTATCGTATTTTTATTTTTAGCTATAATATTGAAAAAAAATTATTTTATGCTCAATTGGAATGAATATCTAAATTGATAGTAAAAACTAAAGAGCTTCTTCTATTGTAAATAAAATTAATGCGCTGAGATAATAATATTGAAGCAGCCAGCTATTTTGAATTCAAAAATAAATATTTTAATTGAATGTTTCCTTCATATTTAACACAATAAAAATGCAATAATTGAAAAAAAGTAAAATATTTTTTATTACAAAATATAAAATTAGTAATTTAAAGTTGAAGGATTACAAATTATTTATATAATTTTGATAGACACTTAATTACTTATTAACTTTATTGCATGCTTATTAACTTACTTACTACTAACTAATTAATTAAGAGTTAAATTAAAATACAAAAATATAAACTGAAAAAATGATTTTTTACTAATGTTAATAAATTATTAATTATATTGATTGTTTTAATATCTTTTTTATTTATTTAGGATTAAGTAGTTTTACTCAGAACCAACAAAATTTATCTCTACCTTTTTTGATTCTTTAATCAAGAAGTTATTCTCTTGACTAATCCTTGCTGACTTCTTTTTTGACAGTATTATAGCCCCACATTCCCTTTTTCTCGCGATACTCCAAAATTTAGGAATCTTTTTCCTTATTAATTTTTTTAGTTAAACCTAAAAATTTATTCTTGTAAACATCTTCAATATCTTCTTCCTTTTTCTCTATTTCATCTTATTTTCTAAACTAATATTATGTGAAGCTCATTATATCTGAGCTGAATGCTTTGTATAGCAATAAACTTTTATCGCTCATAACACAAGCAATCTTTCTCTCTTCCTTTACAAGAGATTAAGGATTTTACACAACTAAAAAATCATCTTTCTTGACTTATGAAAGGAATTTTGTACCATCTCCTTAAATAGTTGTGGAACTTGTCAAAATTCTACCTTATCCATCTTCAGGTTCAAATGTTATTATTTTAGGCTAATCATCTTTCCCTTAAGATTTTTGTTCCTTCTTAAATATTTCTTCTGCTTTCTTAATTTATTCTTCCTCAATTTATTTCTTCACTTTTTCTTCCTTCTTATCTAGCACTTTCTAAAAGCTACCCTTAAGTTTTAACTTTCCTTAAATTACATGACTCATTTTATGTATGTATTTATTTATTTATGTATTGTTTTTAAATCAATATTGCAAAAATAATCAGATTATTTATATTAATTTTTCTTTAATATCAAACTTTTGATAATTTGATAACAATTAATCAATTTTCTTTTTTGTGCCCTGCTTTCAAAAGAAAGCAGTATAATCAAAAAGATTACTAATTGATTGATAAATATATAATGTTCCTCTCATTAGACAAAAGAAAGCTTAAGCAGTTAAAAGGTATGTCTATATATAATAGACGAAATTCTTTATTAATCTAAATATAGAGTCTATCTAATATTTAAATATAATGCAAAAACAAAGATTTTAATATATTAACATTCATTCATACATTATTGTATATTTAAGGGCTTATTGAGTAACAAGTAAAATTCATTTTTTGTATTCATAAAGACTTGTGAAATAAATAAATAACTAATTTATTTTACAAAAACCAAACAAAAGAAATATAAAATATTTTTTTTCTTTCTTAGTTGATATAATTGTTTTTTATTCAAATCTTTTTCTTTATAAGTCTCTATTTTTTATCAAATTAATTAAATTATTAGTTGATGAAATATATGAAATAATGAATCAGGAAAGTTAGTTTTAAGTAATTTAAAAGTATTTATATTTTTTGATATTTTGATATTAATATGCTTGCTTATTGATGATATTTTTTGTAATTTGGATTTCAAAAATAATAAAACGGTTTATTTTTTGTTAAAAATCAGTTTAATTTAAATTTTAGTAGTTATTCTCCAAAATTAGGTTTCTAGACTAATTCTATATATACGTACATTAACTGTTTACCATATTCTACCTGCTTTATCACATACTAACTTAAGTCTTTATAGAGTAAAGAAATTTAATCTAATCAACAAAAATTTTTAATAAAAATGTTGATAATTTTAAATTTAAAAATGATTATAAAATATAAAGTTTGTTTTTGATGTTTATATGAAATTTAATCGACATTTTTATATTGTTTTTTAACAAAATAACAAGTAATTTTTATATTAATATATGTTTGTTTTGTTTTTATTCAATACCATACTGTATTATTGAAGTATCCAGTTTAGGTAGACATTAAAGTAGATGAAATAGTAGCAATATTAAAATTAGGGAATATAGAGAGCACATCGTCGAGAAGACCTTGTTCAGTCAAACTTTAACCATATTATGTCATTCTTTACTCTGCAGGAGTTCTTCTTTCATCATGCTTAGGATCAGGGATATCTCTATCGTAGTTAGTTTGAACTAAAAACCATGTTTCATCAGTCAAAATAAAAGATTATTTAACAAAGTCTCTGTCTTTTTCAATAATTGTACCATCGTAAAGTCCTGGACCGCTAACAATATAGTAAACAGGATCGACTGTTGGAGTAGTTTTGAATTTTAATACAACTTCGTCATAGGTATCAACAGTTTCCATGAATTCTCTAACTAAGTAAAGGGCTGGGACATTATTTGTGAAAAGCAACTCATAGATGTTAGTCAAGAATGTTTTTGTATGTCTTGCATTTATAGAAACAGCAAATTTTCCAGGTTTTTAGGCAGTAAAGAAAAATACTGCTCCAGCAATAGCCTAAGCCTGATAGAATAATTGTCCATTCTTGTGGTAATTAATTTAGAATGAAATGTGAGCTAATTCAGACCAGAATTCAAAGTCCCAGTTACGACCGTGAATAATTCTGCCATTTTCATCTCTAAATACAATTGAAGTGCAAGCCTTTCCACTCTAAATTTCATAGAGTAAATTTAATGTGAATAGAATATTAAAGTCAGCTTCAAGAAGTTCACTGAAAATTTCAATTTCTTCTACATAACGTTAGAATTTAAATCCATGCTTAGCATACTTTCCAACGAATGAATAAAATGAGTCAGGTAAAGGAAGAATAGCACGGAAATCATGTATGAACTTAGCAAAAGGGGCTTTAAAATCTTTCAAAATAGGAGCCCACTAATCTCTTAAAGGTGCATCAATGTCAACGTTGTAAATAGGTAATGGTTTTCCAGTTGCAGGTCCTATATGAGGTATCATAATAGAACTTCCTAAAACCAAGAAAGCTGATAAAAAGAAGACAAACTTCATTTTTAGTTTTTTAATTAATTTATTTAATGTTAACACTGTTTACTAAAAAGAATTATTTATTTATTTACTTATCCTTAAAAACCTCTTCAAACATAAAATTTAAAAGTAAGTTTCCCAAAAGTGAAAAATAAATCGAGATATTGATTTGTTTTAAAAATTATGTATAATAAATAGATTGAATAAAAAAAATACCATAAATATTTTATAAAAATGTAAAAACCTCAAATTTAATAAAAGAAATAATCTTTCAAAATAATTGATAAATTAAACAGTTTATAATATCATAAATATACTGTGATTTACGCTATAATAAGAATAGTCTTCTATTATAAAATATTTTCTAATCTAATTAAGTATTCTGATTGAATTGCTTCATTAATTAGCTAATGAAACTTTAATTATTAGTATTGTTATTTAGAAAGATTAATAAACAGAGTAATATTTAGTCTTAATCTTTATCTCTTTACATATGAATTTATTTATAGACTATGAAAGAATATCTTCTAGAATAATTAATTTTTGTCTTTTTAGTTTACTTTTCCCATTAATTAGTGACAAAATTAATTCAATTCAAGTCAAACTAACAAACACTGGGTTTACAATTATTAAATTCAACCTCAAAATAAATTATTACAATTTAATTTTTTTATGGAGAAATGTAAATTGTTTAAAATTTTTAAAATACAAATTACGATTATTTCATTTGAGTGATCAGTTTTTCATTTCTTGAGAATCTATTTAATTTGGACAGTAGAAATTATTTTCAACAAATCATCTTCCTATCAAAAAAAACTTGAATATTTCAAATTATTTTTTAATTTTATTTGATTAGAGCAAACTCAATACAAAAACAATAATAAATGGAAAAATGTGGTTATGTTTTTTTATAAATTAGTAATTAATAGTTTTAATAAATTCTAATAAATTTCCTAATGATATTTTAAATTATTTATAAAACACCTCAATATGGTTTTATTAAGAATAATGTTTAATTATTTTAAAATATAGCTTCATTAATTTAAAATAATCAAATTTGGGATTCGATTAAAAAAAATATAATTACTTATCAAATTAAAAAAAACCACAAATAAATATATCAATTAATTTACATATCATAAAAAAAATTCAATTTAAATTCTGTATTTTGTAATTCATTATAATTAATAAATTTGTTTTAATAAATTATGCAAATATACTGTAAAATTCTTTTGTTTTTATTAATCAACTTTAAATATAAAATATTTATTGTTGTTTAGCTTCTTTGTATTTTCTTTAATAGTTTTATTAATCTGTTATAAAAATAAACATTTTTCATCAAATTAAATAAAATAATTATTTGTTTTTGATTATAAAAAAGTAAAAAGAATTAATCTCAGAGCTGAAAAATATTTTCATCAAACAACATTTCATACTTTAATTATTTTTTATTCATTTCTAAATTAAATAGAAAATTTGAAAGTAATTAATTAATTTTGTGGTGTTTGTTTTTTTAAGGCAATTAGTAAAAATTGTTGATCAACTTAGTTAAATAAATATAGTTTTCTTTTTAAAAAATTTAATTGAAAATAAATTTAATTTTAAATTATCAGTGAAATATCATTTTATAAAATCTAAAATATCATTATTGCTATTTAGTATTTATTTTAATACTTATAAGGCACAATATTCTTTTACATGACTAGTGAAATGAATTAAATTCATAAATTATTAAATATCAAGTTTATATCAAAGAGATTTTGTTAATACTTAATAAATTTAAGAAAGTTGTTAGACAATTATGAAAAATAACAAAATTGTAGCGGCATGAGATTAATTAATCAATTTTTAATTAATTAATTAATTAAAGAATTTATTGATAATAAGAAGAAATTAACTTATTGATTTCACAAATCATTGAAAATATTTAAGAATTAATAGATAAATCAAAAATAGCTGTTTAAGGTCAGTATTTTTAAACTAGGATATTGATTATGTCAGCAAAATTTCAAAGCAATGAAGTTTAGAACGACTCAGTGGAGAACATTGAGATAGTTCAGTATTTGGAAGCTCAAAATGTCTAAAAGTATTTTGATTACAAAATTGAGAAGCCAAAAAATAATAGCTTCCAAACAATAGAGCTGTTAAAAAAGAAACAAAATAGTCTAAATGAGCGCCTAACCAAAATGTTTTCATAGCAATAGTAAGAAGACCAAAATCTAAAAACACAAGGAAATTAAAATGATATAAGCATTTCTTCATAAATAATAAATGAAGATTAAAATAAAGACTTTACTTAGAAGGATTAGCTGTCAAAGTTAGATATTTCGCCCAATTGTTATCATATAGAGTATATTAAAAGCAACCAAAATAATAGCGATCAAAGATTTTCTCCTCTCAAACCAAGTAGTAAAATCAATGTTATGAATACATAGAAATCATAAACAACAAGCAAGAAAGAGACAATCTAAACCACAAATTATAATTATCAACAATAGTCAGACTAGTATAAGGAGAATAACACTAACGTAGGTTAATAAAGTGAAAGACTCAGCACGAAAATTAACTACACCACATATAAAGATTAAAAGGCAAAAAACATTTTTAACAGCAGATATGGTAACTAGCACTAAATTTTGACTATTATTCTTGAGGTACCTACTGGCGTAGACAAGCTGGTTATTGAAAATGAAGATGAGGTATCAGAAAAAGCAAAAAATTTCTGCATCAAGCATAATTACAGCTTAGATTGTGTACCTTAATTGATAGTGTAAATCAACCAGCAAATAGAGAGGTTGTTATAAGAAAATAGTAGCTAATAAGAAACGTAATTAAACAATAAGAGAGATTCTCAATATATATAAAATAGCAGCTATAAAATGGATTAACTCCCTTCATTCTAAGATAGTATTTTTGAGAGGTCAACTCAAAATTAAGTAAATAAATAACCAAGAGATTTCAATTAAAATATTTACAACCAAAGGTACGAGCTAAATTCATGTAAGAAGAATCTATTTCTATAGGAAAATTAATAAATGAAAAAAGTAGAAAAACAAGCTAATGAAATTAGAAATATTCAACAAGACCTAAAAGAAGAATAAAAAAAACCTTTCTACAATATCTATGACTCGCATGAAGAAGCTTTAAGTGAGCTTTATAATAGAAAGCAATAAGAAATGAAAAGCCTTTTTAAAATTGAAAAGAGCAACAAAAATAATCTTTAAGAACTTGGATCAAACCAGAGCTTCAATTTAAGTGAAAGCTAAGTGAACAATTAATCTCAAAGTTCTAAAAAAACTACTAAAAAATGGAAAAGAGACATAAGTCCTAACCAAGTTTAAAATTTTTAATAGCACACTGATAAACAAAATGAAAATTAAGTAGAATATAGAAGTACCTCTCCTCTTTTGGATAAAAACTGTGCTTATCCTTGCAAAAATGAAAACATTGAGGAAGGAAGCCCAATAAAAGCTCATGGGAATTTACTTAAAAAGGAGAATTCTTAATAAAATTTAATGAAAAATCTTAGAGATTAAGTAAAACTTCAAAAGGCTGAGAGCTCTGCTAACTTAAATAAATAACAAGAATCGAAAATACAAGATTTAATTGACACTAATAATCTTCAAAATATGAGAAAAAATGAGCTTTAAAATACCTAAAAAGAAACAAACCAAAAAAGTGACTTGATTAATAGTCCTATTATTAAATAAATGAATAGCTAAATTTATGATTCAAATATGAAATTTCATAAATCAAACAGTTTGGCTCATCAAATCTCTTAAAATTCTAGTTATAATGACTAATTTTATCATAATTAAAACAGTAATAGTAAGGGTGCTTCTGCTGCTGCTGTACATGTTATTAACAGTTAAGGTATAAAGAAAAGCAATTCAGCTTTATTTATTAATAAAGGCCATATTTAGCCTATAGAAGAAATATTACCAAAGCAAGTAAAACCTACTGAAGAAACTAAAAAAAAGAGATCTATATCACCATTTAGCAATTCAAATCTCCAATAAATAAGTAATAAGAATTACTATAAAAACACAGTCTCCTAGCAAAACAAAATCAATGATAAATCTAAAGAATTGCAAAGTAGAAGCAGATCTCCCATTTAAACAACAAAGCAAAACAGAAGTATTAGCAATACAAGGAAAAAATCAGCAGAAAATAATAATGCAAATATTTCAAAACCTAAAGTAATTGCATGCAATTCTAGTAATTTAATCAGCTAAAGTAAAGAGAAACCAGCTAACGAAGATGAAAAACAAAAAAATAAAGAAGCTAAGTCAGTTACACCAGGCAAAAGTATGACCAAGACCCTTTCGTAGAATAAAATTTCTCGTTCCAAAACACCAACAAAAGATTAAAATTAAAAAATAATAATCTAAAATAAATAGCATGCTGCAGGCACTAATCTCCACAATGAAGAAAATGAAAACAACTTTTAACCTTAAATCAGTGAATAATCAAAAAAAATAGCAGAAGCGAGCAGACAAAAAGGTATAGGTATACATGAAAGACTATATAACTAAGCTAAGAAAGAACTAAAAAAGAAAGAACAATGGGATATGCAGTTAAAAAAGATTTTGAACAAAAACTAAACTCCAAATTCTAAGAAAGAAGGAGCAAGTAATTAGTTAGCTTATTTCCAGCTGAAAAGTATTCACAATAACTCAAAAGCAGCAGTAGCTTCCAAGACTAAAGAATATGTTATATATCAAAATAACATCAGTCCTTTCAAGCCTAAAGAGCCTGAATTAATCAAAGGAAAAAAGAGAGATATTTCTTCTGAAAGAGAAGAAAGTAAACCTTCATAGCTAAAGTACAACAAATGCGGTTCATAAGGGTTACTCTTTCATACAAAAGAATAAATAAAAGACAAATCTATAAGAAACGATAGTACATTATTAGATGATAAATAAAAATAAAAACTATTAAATTTTGAAAGCAAGGGAAATGTTGAAGAATGCTAAACGGATGATTAAAAAATTATTTAATAACAACAAGAATTGCTTAACTATTATTAAAATATGAGTGATAAATATTTAAAATCAAATAAAACTGAGAATTAAACTTTAAATAATGTTTGTCAAACTCTTGAAACATAAATTTAGTCTTAATCTGATTTAGAAAATCCAGTTAAATCGATTTAAGAAGGACTCATATTCTAAAAAAAGACTTAAACAGAGCATGAGAAAGAGCATGCTAAAGTATAACAGAGGTATCATACATATGATAATGAAGATGAATTAGAAAAAATGTCTTAGCTTAGTAGAGATTCTTAAAGAAGAGATAGCTAGTTAAGTTAAGCTTAAAATAGACTTGAAACTTAGTTATTTTAGAATCAGCTAAAATAACTTTAACTTTAAGAAGAAATGAAAAATCAGTTTAAATCTTAAAACTAATCTATTGAGAGTATCTACCCAAATTAAGATTAAAACAATATTATAAATCCTATTTAGCTGAATTCAAATTAATCATTTACTCAACTTAAAAAGCAAGAGTAAGGAGATGAAAAACTTAAAAAAGTGTTAGAATATATATTCTTTGCTTTAGATAGTGATAGTGATGGCTAAATAAGCACAGAAAACATTGATTTATCTAAATTAAACACAACAATTTTAATGATTATTTAAGATGTCTTAATAGATGTAGAAAATCTAGGTGGATTTGTTGATTTAGATTGTTTTTGCAGTCTCGTTAAAAGAAGAAAAGTAGAATAACAGCTGTTGGATTATGTTTTCAGCGATAATAGTCTTTCTTATTCACCTAACAACGAAGAAAAATAATTATCAGGAAATACTTCAAAATATTTTACAAAATAAAGTAATAATAATAACAACAACAACAATATAAACAGTGCAGATATTTAATAGAAGTAAGAATACTTTAATGAATATGAAAAGTAAGCTGTAGAATTTTTGAGCAAGAACAGTCATGAAAACGATACAGTACTAAGTGGGGCACTTTTAACAAATGAGTCGATCACTCCTGATATTTTCTTTGAAAAGAAAAAGGAATACTTTGATGTCTAAGAATATGAAAAAAAGCTGTTAGAATTGCAATAAAAGAGTAATTTTTATGATTTAAATTTTGAAAATAGAGAAGATCAACATTAAATAAGTTCTAGGTATAAAAATTTGATAGAAAACGAATAAAAATACCAAAAAAACAGTTAGTCTCCTGCATTCGGCAATGATAGCATATATAAGATAAAAAATTGATAGAAAAGGATTGTAAAAAATATCAAAATAATTAATTAACTAATTTTATAAAATGTACTATATAATTTATTCTAAAACATTTATTAAAAATAAATAAATAAATATCTATCTATTTTTATTCATTTCTTATTCACTATTCAATTTTATTCAATTTATATCTATATTTATATTTTAAACTAATTTGTTGTGAAATTTTATTTCTTTCTTTTCCAAACCAATACACTGACTGACTGTCATATAAATATTATTTATTTTCTATAATAAAGCTTTATTTATATATTTTTCAGTAAAAGTATAAAATTTAATAAATAAAAACAATCATAAATACATCAAAAAAATATAAAATAGATTTTTAGAAAAATTCAAGCAAATCAAAGCAAAAAAACTAAAAAAATTTCAAATGCTTTTTTGGAATCAGAGTGATTTCAAGCTCGTTAAGATTCTATGGATAGAAAGCTTTAATCTGTTATTACGGGGAGCTATTTAGTTTTAATTGTTAATATTGTGTTAACTTATTTAAAGAAATACCACACAAATTGATTTGATTTGATTAATTTACTTTACATTATTAAATTTTATAATGTGAAGTTAAAAGAATTTATAAATATATATTTAAAGTCTACTTAATCAATAATGTGTTTAGAAAATCAAAGCAACTTTATTGAATTTATCATAGTGTCTTCTTGGTAATAGAATATGAAATAATTTATTATTTTTAAGATTTTAAAAAGAATATCAATTTTCATTTTATTTTTTAGTAGTATTTCGAAATATTTTTTTTGGTGAGTAAGGGAGAAAAATAATTTATATAATTAATAAAAATTATAATAATAATAATAACTAATTGAGTATAACTATTGTTTTATTTTTTATCTGTAAATATAATTTAGTAAAGTTATTTTGGAAACAGTGATTGATGAATAAATCAGTAGTTTTTTAAAATAAACATAATCGAACAAAAAATTAATTGTATGTATTTTTTTTCTCTTATTTTGATTCATTCATTTATATGTTTATCCAGCTAGTTAACACGATAAATTTTTATAATCTATTTTTGTTTGATATTGGTTTGATTTTATATTTAGATTTTAGAAAAATCTTTGTAGAAAACAGATTTTAAATTGTTATAAGATTGTTTTTTTAGGATTTTATTGACTGATATATAGATAGAAAGATGTCTTATTTCATCAATAAAGAATTTATTTATTTATTTATAAATTAATTTGTGATCAGAAAGGTATATTATAAAAATCAATAGAAACAAGTTTTAAAATAAATTTTTATAAAAAGAAATTAATTAATTAAATTTAGAGTATTTGATTAAAAAGTCTAACAAAAATTAAGATCTTTAAGGAATAATATAAATAGATTTTATAAAAAGATGAACGGAAATCTTTGTTTTGATGACAAATTCTTGATAGATAAGGAAGTCCTAGGTAAAGGAGCTTTTGCAACTGTTGTAAAGGGATTAGATTTGAAAAATAATCAGCACATTGCTTGCAAGATTGTCTCGAAATAGAAGTTAAAAGAAAACCCTACTTTAGATAATCTTTTTGCACAAGAAATACAATTACAAAGATAGCTTAAGTCGCCTTATATTATTTAGCTTTATAAAGTATATAGCGTTGATAATTATTACATGCTTATGATGGAGTATTGTGAAGGTGGTGATCTTGAGAAGTATTTGTAGAAAAATGGACCAATACCAGAATAAAAAGCTATAGGTTTTCTGATGTAAGTTCTTGCTGGATTAAGAGAGATTCACTCTCACTCAATTATTCACAGAGAGTAAAATTAAATAATTTCGCTTTTACAAATTTCATTAATACCTCTAAAATAGTTTGAAGCCTTAAAATATTTTCATCAAAGGAAATCAGCTAAAAATTGGAGATTTTGGATGTGCTAGAACAGCCTTTATTGATTCATTGAATGTGGGTAAAACCACTGTTGGATCATCTTATTTCAAAGCACCAGAAATTATTGAGGGTCTAGAATATGGTTTTGAAGTAGATATTTTCAGGTAAATTTTATATTATTTTTAATTTTTATTTAGAATATTTGAATAAAAACAGTTTAGGTGTCCTACTTTATAAAATGCTATTCAACAGCTATCCATTTGAAGGACAGTCTGTTTAAGAAATTTACAAGAAGATGCAAAGTGTTAGCATTGACTTTAAGAAAAATGGAGTAGTTATTTCCAATTAAATGATAGATTTTTTGTAGCGTCTACTTAAATTTGATAGAAATGATAGAATCACTTGGTTATAAGTATACTAACATCCTGTTATTTCTAAAAATTTAAAGAACGACAGTATTTCAGCAGAAAATATCTTTGCACCATAGTTCATTGATGTTCAGCTCTACTAAGATCCAAAGTTTACTAACAAAAAATTTTCTTCTATCAAAGTCTAATCCAATTTATCTACTTCAGGAATAGCAGAAGAAAACAAGTAAAAAAGTAATGTTTAGTAATAAGATGAAGAGAAAAAAAGAATGCTTGCAGAATTAAAGGAAGCTAAAGAAAAAGAAATATAGTTTGCTGTAAAATAGTACCTATTAAAAAGAAATGTAAAAAAATATATAATTTATTTAAGTTTTCTTTTAATTTATTACAATATCTTGCAAATAATGCTAATTTTTTTCTATTTATCTAAAAGATTTATGGACAAATGTGGGAGCTTGCTAAATCTTTCAAAAAATTTAATATCCCATAAATTGATTCTAAAATTCCTGCATTATTTATCTTAAAAAAAATGAAAAGTTTGAATTCACAATTGCAGAACGAGCTCAATTAAAGAATTAATATTTTTAACTTGAAGTATTTTAACGACTTTCTAGACTCTGAGCCTTATGAAAAACTGCAAAAATAAATAAATGATGACTCAGTTGAAATCGATAAATTATTACACCCTACTTAATAGGAAGCTATAGAAAGTATTTAAAAACTTAACATCACTGATCAAGATCTTATTTAAGAAATTAAAACATTACAACTCACTCCTTGCTTTAAAAAGTTTTATATCGAATCACTCATAGCTTACGCTAACGGGCTTAACTAGATACTATAAAAATTGAATGACACTGCTTAATAAAAGGGATTTTTCTACCAAATTATACTTGTGTATGAAGCATGCAGTATAGATAAATTGATTATTGATAATATTGAATATGACTTTGAAAAGCATAAATTAGAAATCATTCACACAAATCCAGAAAAATACTAAAGCATTATTGAGCAAAAGCAAACAGAAGCACTTAATTGATTGATACAAATTAAATCTAAAGGACAACAAAAATTAATTAATTTATTATAATAATTATATTGAAATCAACTTTAATATATTTACTTAATACTTACTAATCTTTGTTTAAATGTTGATATAAAGATAAATTAGTTTACTTATTTATTTATTTATTAATAAATTTAATTTCAATCCTTATTTTTTATCTCATTCATTCATTTAATAAAAATTTTCAAAATTTATTTTTTAAAGTCTACAAAATAAAGTTCTCGATTTATGTTCATTTTTATTAGCCTAGCGTTTAAAAAAGAATGTAAAAAAATAAATAGAGTTAGAAATTAATTAATTTCTGGAAATACTCTAAATCTTTATATGTTAAACACATTAATTAATTTATTATAATAATTACATTGAAATCAACTTTAATATATTTACTTAATACTTACTAATCTTTGTTTAAATGTTGATATAAAGATAAATTAGTTTACTTATTTATTTATTTATTTATTAATAAATTTCATTTCAATCCTTATTTTTTATCTCATTCATTCATTTAATAAAAATTTTCAAAATTTATTTTTTAAAGTCTACAAAATAAAGTTCTCGATTTATGTTCATTTTTATTAGCCTAGCGTTTAAAAAAGAATGTAAAAAAATAGAGTTAGAAATTAATTAATTTCTGGAAATACTCTAAATCTTTATATGTTAAACACTCTGTTTCCAATCTATTTGTATAGCTTTGATGCCTCTAATGAAAAAATGTTAGATAAAAGTGTTAATATACGAAATTATATTGACCTAAAAAAATTGAAAACGGTATAAATTTTTAATGCTTATTTCTTTTATCGATTTTACGTTTTATTTTTATCAAAATTTTAGGTTTTTTATTAAAGAGGAAAATCGGTATATATGTAAAATAATCATAAATTAGATATAAATTTTTCTAAATGGTTTTCATTAATAATTATCAAATAAATAAAAATATATATAAACATATTAAAAAATTAATTTTAAGTTGTATTCTGAGTGCATTTATATGTGCGAGTATTTCTATTCTATTCTATTCTGCACCAATTTAATTGTTACTTTTTAAATATTGAAGAAAATATATATCATTAAATAGTTAATTAGAAGGAAAAAATGAAGAAAAAATAAGAAATAATAATATGAATTAATAAAAAAAGCAAAAGTTGAAAATAAAATGATGAGTTTTTAAATTAACAAAGAAAGGACAAAAAAAATACAACACACAATAAAAAGAAAAAGAAAAAAGAGCTTTATTGTTTTTAATTAGTTTTTATAATTCAAAATATCACAATCCAAAACAAATAAACTGTTTTTACTAAAGATGAAGTGTCAAATTTGAGAGATTAATGCATTTTGCTAAACCAGAACCTAAGCCTGATGCACCAATTGCACCAATTTAATTAAAACTTTTAAAATATTGAAGAAAATATATATCATTAAATAGTTAATTAGAAGGAAAAAATGAAGAAAAATAAGAAATAATAATATGAATTAATAATAAAAGCTAAGTTGAAAATAAATTGATGAGTTTTTAAATTAACAAAAAAAGGACAAAAAAAATGCAAACACAATAAAAAGAAAAAGAAAAAAGAGCTTTATTGTTTTTAATTAGTTTTTATAATTCAAAATATCACAATCCAAAACAAATAAACTGTTTTTACCCAAGATCAAGTGTCAAATTTGAGAGATTAATGCATTTTGCTAAACCAGAACCTAAGCCTGATGCACCTTAATTACCAATTTTATTGTCACTTTTTAAATATTAAAGAAAAAGTATATCATTAAATAGTTAATTAGAAGGAAAAAATGAAGAAAAAATAAGAAATAATAATATGAATTAATAAAAAATGCAAAAGTTGAAAATAAAATGATGAGTTTTTAAATTAACAAAGAAAGGACAAAAAAAATGCAAACACAATAAAAAGAAAAAGAAAAAAGAGCTTTATTGTTTTTAATTAGTTTTTATAATTCAAAATATCACAATCCAAAACAAATAAACTGTTTTTACCCAAGATCAAGTGTCAAATTTGAGAGATTAATGCATTTTGCTAAACCAGAACCTAAGCCTGATGCACCTTCATCATCAATTTAATTAAAACTTTTAAAATATTGAAGAAAATATATATCATTAAATAGTTAATTAGAAGGAAAAAATGAAGAAAAATAAGAAATAATAATATGAATTAATAAAAAAAGCAAAAGTTGAAAATAAAATTATGAGTTTTTAAATTAACAAATAAAGGACAAAAAAAATACAACACACAATAAAAAGAAAAAGAAAAAAGAGCTTTATTGTTTTTAATTAAATACAAATCTTATCATTATTCGTGTATGTAGCCTTGAAAAAGGTAGTACCCTAGGGTACTATATATATAATTAATAGTAAAAGCAAAAGTTGAAAATAAAATAATGAGCTAAATTAACAAAGAAAGAACGAAAAAATGAAAGCAAACACAATAAAAAGAAAAAGAAAAAATAGCATTTATTGCTTTAAATTAGTTTTTATTATTAAAAATATCACAATCTAAAGCAAATAAACTGTTTTTACTAAAGGTTAAGTGTCAAATTTGATAGATTAATGCAATTTGCTAAACTAGAACCTAAGCCTAATGCACCCATTGCACCAATTTAATTACCACTTTTTAAATATTGAAGAAAAAATATTAATTAAATAGTTAATTAGAGTGGAAAAATGAAGAAAAAATATAAAATAATAAGATTAATTATTAATAAAAGCAAAAGATTGAAACTAAAATTATGAGCTGCACAATAAAAAGAAAAAGAAAAATGAGCTTTACTGTCTTAAATTAGTTTTTATAATTAAAAATATCACAATCTAAAGCAAATAAATTGTTTTTACTCAAGCCAAAGTGTCAAATTTGAGAGATGAATGCAATTAGCTAAAGCAGAAACTAAGCCTGATGCACCTTTTACACCAATATTATTCTTACTTTTTAAATATTGAAGAAAAAATAAGTAAATAGTTAAATAGTTAATAAGAAGAAAAAATATGAAATAATAAGATTAATTAATAATAAAAGAAATATTTAAAATTAAATTGAATCATTAAATTAATAAAGAAAGAAAAAAAATCAAGCAAGTACAAATAAAAGAAATAGAAAAAAAGATTTGTTGTTTTATATTAGTTTTATAATTAAAAATATCATAATTTAAAACAAATAAACTGTTTTTACCCAAGATTAATTGTCAAATTAGAGAGATTAATGCAATTTGCTAAAGCAGAGCCTAAGCTTAATGCACCCATTTCACTAATTTAATTTTCACTTTTTAAATATTGAAGAAAAAATATAAAATTAAATAGTTAAGGAAAAAATGAAGAAATAATATGAAATAATAAGATAAATTTATTAATAATAAAAGCAAGAGTTGAATATAAATTAATTGATGAGATAATTAACATATAATAAAAAAAAGGCAAGCTAATAAAAAGAAATAGATAAAAGAGTCTTGTTGTTTTAAATTAGTTTTTATAATTAAAAATATCACAATCTAAAGCAAATAAATTGTTTTTACCCAAGATTAAGTGTCAAATTAGAGAGATTAATGCAATTTGCTAAACCAGAACCTAAACCTGATGCACCTTCATCACCAATATAAATGTCACTTCTTAAATATTGAAGAAGAAAAAATATGTAATTAATAGTAAATTAGAAAGAAAAATATGAAATAATAAGATTAATTAATAATAATTTGAAAATAAAATGATAAATTTTATTAACAAAAAAAGAACATAAAAAAGCAAGCACAATAAAAAGAAATAGAAAAAAGAGCTTTATTGCTTTAAATAAATATTTATAAGTAAAAATAAATATCACAATCCAAAATAAATAATCTGTTTTTACTAAAGGTTAAGCATAAAATTTGAGAGATTAATGCAGTTTGCTAGAGCAGAACCTAAGCATGATGCACCCATTGCACCAATTTAACTAAAACTTTTTTAAATATTGAAGAAAAAATAAATAATTAAATTGGTAATTAGAAAGAAAAAATGAAGAAAAAATATGAAATAATAAGATTAATTAATAATAAAGCAAAAATTGAAAATAAAATGATGAGTTAAATTAACAAATAAAGAAGAGAAAAAAGCAATTACAATAAAAACAAAAAGAAAAAAGAGCTTTTTTGTTTTATATTCATTTTTTTTGTTAAAAATATCACAATCCAAAACAAATAAACTGTTTTTACTCAAGATCAAGTGTCAAATTCGTGAGATTAATGCAATTTGATAAAGCAGAACCTAACCCTGACGCACCTTCATCATCAATATAAAGTCCACTTTTTAAATATTGAAGAAAAAACATTTAATTAAATAGTTAAATAGAAGGAAAAAATGAAGAAAAAATATGAAATAATTATATTAATTGCAAAAATTTGAAAATAGAATATTGAGTTAAATTAACTGAAAAAAACAGTAAGCAAAAGAAAAAGATTAGAAAATAAATAAATAAATAAAATAAATTAAAAGAGCTTTAATGTTTTTAATTAATTTTTCTAATTAAAAATATTACAATCCAAAATAAATAAACTGTTTTTATCAAGTGTAAATATTAATATCAAAAAATGAAGAAAAAAAATATAATAATAAAAAATGAATATTAAATAATTAAAAATTGAAATTAAGATAATGTTAAAATAGCTAAAAAAAATTTTTTTTAATAAAAATCAATGGAAAAAATGATGAGAATTTCTATTACAAATTATTTTTTAAATAAATTGAAAGTTAAAAAAACAAAAAATATTAAAAATAATAAAAATAATATTTATAAATTAAATATACGTCAGATTAATATGAAGAACTTAATGAGATAAAAGTGAAGAGTTTAAAAACTTTTTTTATTTAAAAATATATATTTAAAGTATATTAATAAAAAAATAAATAATTACTTCTTCTAATTCTTCATAATATTTAATCTATTATATCATTTATTTTTTTTTTCTTCAAAAATATTGAATAGTAATTTATGAAATTAAATTAATTATAAATGAATATAAAAAACAAATAAAAAAAATTAATTAATTACCAAATATTAATTTATAAATTTGCTTTTATGAAGAGATAATAAATTTAACATTCATTATTTTATCTTAATATTTTTATTTAAAATATAAACTTAAATATAGGGTAGGAATTAGAGATGGTCAATTAGACATATTTGAAAAAATAATAGTAATTAATGTTCTTAAATTTTATAAAAATACTTTTTATAAGTAGATTTTTCTCAGTAATTAATTATAGGAATATTTATAATATCTCTAATTCTTCTCTAATCCCATTAGTTTTTTTGCAAACACATGCACATATTATTTAGGTATATATATATTGCATCCACTAAATAAGTGCATTTTTAATTACTTAAATAACTTTTTAATAAATAGAGTAAAATACTTGACTCACTAGAGTTTTTAAAATTTAGAGAATGAAGGTAGGTAATCTTTAATATTTATTTAACGCTGAAAAGTAAAATAGAGGAATATTTGCAAATAAAAATAAAATTTATCTATATATGTATCTATATTTTTGGTTAAAAAATCTTTTTAAAAATATTATATAACAAAATATTTAATATTTATTGATCCTTTTTTTGCCACTTATTTATCATCAGAATTATGTATTAATGACAACTAATCTTTTTGATTTAAGACACTAATTTATTAACTTGATTTTTTATGATTCATTAATTTAGTTAAAACTTTTATAATAAAAAATATTAGTAGAATAATAAATAGATAATAAAAAAAATCAAATAAAAGCTAACAAATAAATTCGTAGTGCTTTTTTGTTTTATATTCATTTTTATTTTTAAAAATATGTTAATTCAAAACAAATAAACTGGCTTTACTCAAAGAAAAGTGTTAAATTTGAGAGATTAATGTAATCTGCTAAAGCAGAACCTAAGCCTGATGCACCTTCATCACCAAATTAATTCATGCTTTTTAAATATTGAAGAAAAAATATCATTAAAAAGTTAATTATAAGGAAAAGATAATAAATTTAATTAATAATAAAAGCAAAAGTTGAATTAAAACGATGAGTTAAGTTAAAAAAGAAAGAATAAAAAAAAGCAATCACAATAAAAAAAAAGAAAAAAGAGCTTTATTGTTTTAAATTATTTTTTATAATTATAAATATCACAATCTAAAACAAATTAACTGTTTTTACGAAAGATAAAGCTTCAAATTTGAGAGGTTAGTGCAATTTGCTAAAGCAGAACCTAAACATGACATACCTTCATCACCAATTTAATTATATCTTTTTAATTATTGAAGAAAAAATAAATAATTAAATAGTTAATTAGAAGGAAAAAATGAAGAAAAAATATGAAACAATAGGATTAATTAATAATAGGAGCAAAAATTAAATTTAAATTAATAATTTAAACTAATAAAAAAGAAGAAAAAAAAGCAAGCACAATAAAAAGAAAAAGAAAAGATTTTTTTATTATTTTAAATTAGTTTTAATAATTAAAAATAATATCACAATCCAAAACAAATAAACTGTTTTTACTAAAGATCAAGTTTCAAATTTGATAGATTAATGCAATTTGCTAAAGCTGAACCTAAGCCTGATGTACCTACATCACCAATTGAATTGCTACTTTTAAATATATGAAAAAATAAATAATTAAATTGTTAATTAGAAGGAAAAAATGAAGAAAAAATTTGAAACAATGTTTTAATTTAGTTTTTATTATTAAAAATATCACAATCTAAAACAAATAAACTATTTTTACCGAAGATTAAGTTTCAAATTTGAGAGATTAATGCAATTTGCTAAAGCAGAACCTAAGTTTGATACACCCATTGCACCAATTTAATTGTACCTTTTTAAATTTGAAGAAGAAAATATAATTAAAAATATCACAATCTAACAAATAAACTGCTTTTACTAAATGTAAAGTTTCAAATTTGAGAGATTAATGTAGTTTTTTAAAGCAGGAACTAAGTCTAATGCACCTTCATCACCAATTTAATTGTACCTTTTAAAATATTGAAGAAAAAATAAATAATTAAATAGTTAATTATAAGGAAAAAATGAAGAAAAAATATGAAAAAATAAGATTAATCAATAATAAGAGTAAAAATTAAAATTAAATTAATGAGTTAAATTAATAAACAATGAGGAAAAGAATAGCTTTATTGTTATAAATTAGTTTTTTATAATTAAAAATATCACAATCAAAACAAATTAACTTTTTTTACTCAAGTTTGAGTTTCAAATTTGAGAGATTAATGCAATTTGCTAAAGCAGAAACTAAGCCTGATGTACCTACATCACCAATATAATTGCTACTTTTTAAATATTTAAAAAATAAATAAATAAATAATTATTTAATTGAAGGAAAAAATGAAGAAAAAATATGAAATAATAAGATTAATTAATAATATAATAAAAAAAAAATTGAAAATAAAATGATGAGTTAAATAAATTGTTAAACAAGAAGAAAAAAATCAGTTATATAAAAAGAAAAAGAAAAAAGAGCTTTGTTGTTTGAAATTAGTTTTTATAATTAAAAATATCTCAAACTAAAACAAATAAACTGTTTTTACGAAAGATCAAGTGTCAAATTTGAGAGATTAATGCAATATGCTAAACCAGAGCCTAAGCCTAATGTACCTTCATTACCAATTTAATTGTTACTTTTTAAATATTGAAGATAAAATAAAGAATTAAATAGTTAATTAGAAGGAAAAAATGAAGAATAAATATTATTAATTAGTAAAAGCAATAAAGATTGAACATAAAATGATGAGTTAAATTATCAAAGAAAGAAGAAGAAAAGTTAGCACAATAAAAAGAAAAAGAAAAAATAGCTTTGCTATTTTAAATTGGTTTTTATAATTAAAAATATCACAATCTAAACAAATAAACTGTTTTTACGAAAGATCAAGTATCAAATTTGTGAGATTAATGCAATTTGCTAAAGCAGAACCTAAGCCTAATACACCTACATCACCAATTTAATTGTTACTTTTTAAATATTGAAGAAAAAATAATTAATTTAATAGTTAATTAATTAAAAGGAAAAAATGAAGAAATAATAAGATTAATTAATAATAATAGCAAAAGTTGAAAATAAAATATATATATAATGAGTTAAACTATCAAAGAAAGAACAAAAAAAAGCAATCAAAATAAAATAAAAAAAAGAGCTTTTTTGTTTTAAATTAATTTTTTTAATTAAAAATAAATATTACAATCCAAAACAAATAAGTATTTTTTACATAAGGCTAAGTGTTAAATTTGAGAGATTAATACAGTTTGCTAAAGCAGAACCTAAGCCTTTTGCACCCATTTCACCAATATAAAAACTACTTTTTAAATATTTAAGAAAAAAAAATTATTTATAGTTAATTAGATGGAAAAATTGAAGAAAAAATATGAAATAATAAAATTAATAATAATAAAAGCAAAAGTTGAAAATAAAATGATGAGTTAAATTAACAAAAAATCGAAAAAAAAGAAAAAGAACATAAATGAAATAAATTAAAAGAGCTTTAATATTTTAAATTAATTTTTATTATTATAATTTTACAATCCAAAACAAATAAAATTAGTGATAATGCTAATAGCAAAAATAAAAAAAATAAATAATAATAAAAAATGAATATCAAATAATTAATAATTGAAATTAAAATTAAGTTAAAATCATTAAAAATTTTTTGTTTTAATAAAAATGAATGAATAATTATGATAATTTTTTATTTGCAAAATTATTTTTTTTAAATAAATTAAAAGCTAAAAATACAAAAATAGTAATAATAATAGAAATAATATTTATAAATAGAATTTACTTCAGATCAATATGGAGAACCTAATGAGATAAAAGTGAAGAGTTTAAAAACTTTTTTTATTAACATATATAAATTTAAAGGATATTAATAAAAAAATAAAAAATTACTTCTTCTAATATCTTGTAATATTTAATCTATTGTATCATTTATTTTTTTTCAAAAATATTGAAGAGTAATTTATGGAATTTAATTAATAATTTATGATAAAATATTAATTTATAAATTTGCTTTTACGAAGAATACATTCATTATTTAATCTTAATATTTGTATTTAAAATATATACTTAAAAATATAGTAGGAATTAAAAATGGTCAATTAGCTAAATTTGAAAAAATTCTAGTCATTAATGTCCTTAAATTTTATAAAAATAATTTTTATAAGTAGATTTTTCTGTTTTAGCTAGTAATTAATTATTATAATATTTTATCAACAAAATAAATGCATTTATACTTACTTAAATAACTTTTTAGTAAATTGAGTAAAATAAATATATATTTTACTGACTAGAGTTTTTAAAATTTAGAGAATGAGGGTAGGTAATCTTTAAATATAATAATATTCCGAACATTATTTTTAATTTTATAATGGCCAGCTTCACACTCAATCTAAAAAATTTTATTTATGCCCAGTCAAGATTTTTTCTCATTTTATATTATTTAATTTTATTCAATTACTTTTTTGAATTTTCTTATTTCTACTTAGATTAGCTAAGCTAAACTTTGAATTAATTAAAAATAAATATATGTAATTAAATGCCATTCACTCATTTATTTATTTACTTATTTCCAAACTGCGAAATATAATGGCATTTTGGTATTATATGAAGTAAAATTGTCTCATAAGAATTTAAGACGATTAATTGATAAAATTTAAATTATTTAAAAAAACAAAACAAAATGAAAGAGTGAAATTTGTAAATTAAAAAAAAGAAATTAAAAATATTCAAAATAGTAATAATTTACTAAAATATACATTTCATATACTTAAAACAATTATTAGTAAAGTTAACCATAAACTTTTTATTATTTTTGAACTACTGGAGTTGCTATGAATATTTGCATCTAAATTTTGAGAACCATTATTACCATTTGTTGAAGTTACTTTTTGGCTAACCCAATTAGAATCATTCTAACTAACACAAATATTATTATAGTTATTTAATGGAACAGTGGCTTTCACATTAGTAAACTTATCAAATCCATAAATAGGATCAGTTGTAACAATTAGATTTGGATAACTTGGTGTAGATAAAGCAGGAGTTAAGTAAATATTTAAATTATTATTACTATCCACATAAGTGTAAGCAATACTTCCATTTTCAAGAACTCTCCAATCATCTGACGCACTAATTTAGTAATTCTATAATTGTGTTGGTTGCACCAAAATAGAACCATCAACTCCGCTGAGTAAAGCTATATAAGCCTAATCTGCAGTAGGTCTTATATCTTAACGATTAAAGTTTTAAACCTTAGATGATGGGATCATGGTGTAAGCTAGTAAAATGTTTTTACCATATGGAACTGTTTTGATATTGTTTATTCTAGCAGCATCATCTCCACTAATCAATGTGGTTGTAGAAATGTAATTTAGTTATGAATCAAATTTGATAACAGCAAGCTCATTGATA